TTCCTTCCAGAATAAAATAATGTCCGATGTTAGAAAATTTTTTCCTTTCCTGATTTTATGTATAGATTTCCTAGTCAGTGGCACAAGTTTTTTTGTTTTTTTTTTTTTTTAGTGGTATTGAACTCAGGGCCTGGCACTTGCTAGGCAGGCAGTCTACCCAGCCACACCTCAGCCGGCACTAGTTTCTTTATGGGAATACTATGTGTACCTGGAATGTTTCTAGTTTTCTGTTTAGTTTATGATTATGATTTGCTTATGTTTCCATGTATATGTTGCAGGTGATTTTTTTTTCTCATCTATATGCTACTAAGTTCCTAGGCTTTAGTTTTTATAAATGATATTGTTTCACAGCTCCAAAGACATCATCATAGCATTTCACTTCTGGGTGGGATTAATTGATTGATTTTTCCATTAGTTGCTTGCAATGATTATATTTTTATTAGTCAAATAAATCAACAAAGTGGAATATTTTTATAATTTCAACTAGCATAAGAATATGTAATTGATGTAATAACCTTTCTCAAATGAATAATGGAAAATTTCCTCTTTTATTGCAGGATGGTGTGGTTCTTGTCCATTGTAATGCAGGAGTTTCTAGGGCTGCTACAATAGTCATAGGCTTCTTGATGAATTCTGAAGAAATCTCATTTACTAGTGCTTTTTCTTTGGTGAAAAATGCAAGGCCTTCCATATGTCCAAATTCTGGCTTCATGGAGCAGCTTCGTACATATCAAGAGAGCAAAGAAAGCAATAAGTATGACAAAATACCAGAAGTGGAAAGGGACAATACTTCATGAGTTTCATTCTAACAGATGATGGACAAATGGAACTTCTAACTTGGCTTAGGGAGCCATCTTTCTTCTGTTTTGGAGAGTAAACTAGAAAAAAAAATCATTCCCTCTTGCCTTTTACAAGTGGAAATAAAATAAAGATTGATTTGGTTGTCCTGAGCTACTGTATAAATAAATTTTTAGATTTTACTATTTTCTTTTTGTTATAATAATGTTAAGTATTTCTTTGAATTACTAAGGGGATTTACAATACATTAGCAATCATTAGTTTTTGTAGAAGAAAAAGGTTTAAATTTAAAATCTATACTAAAGCATGGAAATAATACATCAATTAAAGGAGTCTTTTAGTATTTATCTACTCCAGAACCTGTTCTCATGAAGGACAAAACTTGAAGTGCTACTTGACTTACTATTTTAGAGGGAAACAATTTTTTTGTGTAAAGAATATTTTTAAGATTAAAAATGAATAACTTCAACCTTCCATAAGAGTAACAGAATCAAAGGCTCATACATCATTTATATATTGGCTTCAGTATTCAAAAGCATTTTAAATCCTTTGATGAAAGTATTCCTACTTTTCATTTTAATTTAATTCTGTACTTCTTTATCTGCATCTTATTAACACTTCTTTTTATTTTTTAGATATTAGTGTAGATGCTCTCGTTTGTGTTATTACAAGTTTATGATTCATTAACTGAGTGTTATGTTCGCTTACATTTTGTGCTTTTTATCTTGGGTGCCTAGCATTCTATTTTTGGTCTCACCGGGTCTGTAGGAAAATGTTTTATACTGAAAGATCATTTTGTAGACATGCTCTGTTCAGTGATCTGTTTTATAATTCAGTATTTTACTAGAGAACATACTTCTAAGGAAAGAAAAGTTATGATTTTGAAAGAACATTATTTCAATTATCTCTGGCCAGAGGCTTCAAATAGTTTCTCTTTTCTTTTTCTTTAATGTTTCCATATTAGCTACACTGAACTTCACACATTATAAATTTGCTCCAAGATTTTGAAGTTTTTTCTTCACAAATTGTACTTGAAATTAATTATACTAATTAACAGAATTTATTTAGTAGTTTTCAGGTAGCGTTTTATGACTTAGGAACTATGATTGCCATTTAGATTTTATTTTAAAAAGCCTTGAGCTCTTCTTAAATGCTGTATACATAAGTTGGAAAGTATACATTGTGTACATCTGTGCATTGTGTACATCTGTACATCTCATGAACAAAAACTAGAAGCAATAATTACTAGTTGTGTCTTGATTTTGCTTACAATCTGACAAGATGCCATGCCGTGCAATGCTATGAATTCCTTACCTCCATGAAGAAGCAGCTACCTATATTTAACATATAGGGAGCTATTTGAAGTCGGGAAGAATACCCTTAAATAAGAAGCTGATGTGTAATGGCTCTGCTGAGGGTATGCTGGGAGAGCCTACACCATTCATATGAGGGCACTGATTTAAATACATTTTCTTTGGCTGAGTGCTATTTAGTTTTTAGCCATTTAAGTGTCATCATATTTAGCTTTGCTATAATTTGTTCATAGCCTATAGTTGTACACTTAGTTGTTGCCTGCAGTGATCTGGTTACAGTTTAAACATGTACCTTCTGTCTCAGCTACAGAAGTGCTTTCAGCATCAATTTTGACTTAGTCTTTTTTTTTTTTTTTTTGGTGGTACTGAGGTAATTTTGCTTAATCTTAATCAGATTCATTCCCTCCATCTTTTTTCCTTTATCCTCTTTTCCCCTTCTTAGAACAATTTCAGTGGGTTTAATTGTTTTATTTTCATAAATGAACACAAAATACTTTCACTATATTGGTCCTCCCTTACCCTTTTCTTATGCCCTCCACCTTCCCACTTATACCCACCCCTGGGGTAGAACCTATTTTACCTTCCTATCCTTCATTTAAAAAAAAACCCCAAGATTATAGTAGTTATTGAGGGAGTTTCCTTGTGACATTTCCACATATACATGTATTATACCCTGAATTGGTTCATCCCCTCCATTATTCTCCCTCCTATACCACTCCTCTTTTTATGGTGACTTAAAGGGCACTCAGTTTTTTTTTT